TTTCCATTTTTCTCACAAATGTATCATTATGTGGAGCACCGGTTGCAAAGTAACGGCTTGCTTTAAGCCTTTCTTTTTTTGCCAGTGTCAAATCAGGCAAGTATGAGTGGTTCTGATGTGATGTGGTTTGAGAGACAACATATAATTTGGTGAAACTATACATGAGCTTGTTAACTAGTTTGTTTTTCTGCAACTGTGAGCAACATGAAACGTTATGTTGACTGAGTGTTTTTAAGAAAGAAAGTGGTTACCAAACCTCATTGTCTTGTTCATTATTGGCTCACACTTCAGTGGTTTGCTCATTTGCCAAGTTCGGGTCTAGATAAATTCAGTGCAATGTAAAATGAACCACTACTGGAAGTTAATCACTCTCTCAAGTCCCCATGTTCTTTCCCATTTAAGTGAAATTGTTTTTTCTGCTAGGCGAATTTTACACGTTTGGTGGGACCGCTGCGTTACTCTGCAGCTAACCACTACTGCGTTTTAGTTTAGTGTACACAGAAAATGAAGACATTAGATAACTACTGTGTCATGATTTTTGATCTAAAGCCTGTTTGGTCAGATAACTAAGAAGAGTAAGCTCAACTAACAATTAAATAAACCGGAATTAGCCAGAAATAAACAATACATGTCGGCAAAGAAGCTGGGCGATGAAATGCTTTACAGAACAAAACCACACGCAGTTGTTGGAAGAAAACCTCATATCTCCAAAATTATAACTTTACAGGAGATGGAAAAAACCTACTTTACTTTTAATGTAAGTCAATGGAACCAGACATTTTTCCCAAGTCATTTTGGGCCGTTTCTTTTGGTCCATTCATTATGAAATTTACACACAATGTAAAGACCCACAGGCATTTTCAGATTATGCAAAAAACTGAAAAACGACAAAAAAAAGGAGATAGAAGGTTTTCTTCTGAAAGCGACATTCTGGTTAATCTGGTAAATATTGAAAAAGCTAAGCTGAACCTTACAGGACAGTTTAATGCTTTATCCATACAAAAAAGGCTACTACAAGGCCACATCACAGCTATGATATTATTCATAACACACTCCCTCTCGCGTTCTACTGATTAATTATCAATACTGCCCAGCACTAGGCAGACCTATACAGGACCTGTTATATGCCCGTATATGGTAAAGTAGCTGCATAGGAGAAGGATAAGATATTCCTGACATCTGTAAAAGCTCTGCTTTTCAAAATTTCAAAATCATGAATGCTCACACAGCGTAAAGAGCCTCTGGCTTTCTTATGACAGTGCTGTTATGAAAACACCTGTGGCGTCACATTCCTCCTCTCTTCCTTGTTACCTGTTGAATGAACAGGGCTCAGTTTCACACTTGGCTTCCGTGGAGAAGCGCATACAATTCCACATGTTCCATAATGACTCTGTAATTATTTATGCCAGCCTGACAGTCATGCCCTGTACAGTCAGCCAGGGATTTAGCCCATATTAAAGTGAACTGAGTGAAAAAAGACCAATTGAAAGGAAAAGCTCCGTTCCACTAAAGGGCACATAAGGCAGTTGTGGTGCAGCCTGGTGATGAGTACTCAGGACTGCAGGGCAGATGCTCCAGATACACACACACTAAAACTCACTCACACACCTGCATGCTCCCAGTGACAGCTGAAACAACGCAGTGCTCACAGCTGCTGTGAGACAGCGAGTTTGAGTGTATGGTAATACAGCACTCGCGTGACAGCATTGTCTCAATCACAATGAAATACATGTGACCCATTTGGGCCTCATCCAGGTGCAACATCCTCTGACGTTCCTGCTAACTCGTTCTTCCATACAAGTCGCTACCTCCCTTCGGCTAAAGGATATTCTTCCCATTACGAGTGTAAATCTCTGACATCATATTGATTCAATTATGATTCTTTAGGAAATGACTCAGTGATTCAGTGATTCAAATAGTCAGTTTCACCACAATTTGTTTTGAGTCTTTTTAAAAATATGCTGAATACATAATTATACCACAGTTATTTCCGGCCTTGTAATGTGATTGGCTGACAGGCATTCTATGACTGCCAATATCTCTTGATAACAGCACTCTGAACGAATCTCTTTAAGTATCAGTCCAACTTATTTGCCAGCCATTAAAAAAGTAACAGCCATAACTTTATTATAAGTAACAAAAGTGGCAAAAAAAACTATGACAGCAAGCAATGCAGGCAACTGGCAACGTTTACACCTGACGCGAATGGCAGAGCTCGGTTTTTGACGGACATCCCAGCACCCCATCAGCGCTATATGGGACTTAAACTTGGAGTTTTATTGTTACAATTGTCTCAAAATCTAAGAATTGGTTTAATCATGATAATCCACTCAAGGTTGTGCTATTCTGTGAGAAGCTGTGCTGATCTACTCAGCCTTAGTGCTAATTTCTCAGGGTATAGTGATGCCTCTCCAGTAACAGCCACAGCAACGTAGCAGGTTTGTCACAAGTAACAAGCAGACTGAAAAAAATATAATTAATAACATCTTGTCTAACAGCAAGCAGCGCAAGAGAACAACACCAGTATTGTAATCAACAAAGCTATCTGAGTGGCAGAGCTCCACTTTTGAAGTTTTGAAGATTTGATGCTTCTCAATGACAATATATACACATTTATAAAATGTAGAGCCTGAGACTAACTCTACTTGGATTAGGATTTTGGAGGAATGTAACATGTATTAAGGTTACGAATGCAGTAAAATTTACAAAATGATGACATTTTATCCCAGTAGGCATCAGCTAAGCATCAGCTGAACGTTCTGTCCTTCTCTAAAATATGAAAATACGATAACAAATATCGGTTTGAAACATAGGTCAAATCTAATCATCTAAATATGGGTCAAATCTAATTGTTTAAACATTGTTGAAAAAATGTTAAATGCTAAAGCCTGAGTAGACTGATAAATCAATGTGATGATCAGTTATTAATCTCAGTGTTACTGAGCTCTGCTAAAGCCTGAGTAGACTGATAAATCAATGTGATGATCAGTTATTAATCTCAGTGTTACTGAGCTCTACTAAAGCCTGAGTAGACTGATAAATCAATGTGATGATCAGTTATTAATCTCAGTGTTACTGAGCTCTACTAAAGCCTGAGTAGACTGATAAATCAATATGATGATCCGTTATTAATCTCAGTGTTACTGAGCTCTGCTAAAGCCTGAGTAGACTGATAAATCAATATGATGATCCGTTATTAATCTCAGTGTTACTGACCTCTTTTGAGGGATGATCAAACTTGTAATCTCAGTAGTGGACTTGTTCGTGAGTAATAAATTTCGCATCAGTGTTGTGGGATTATGGGAGATGCAGTGGACTGAAGCAGGTGGTCAGAGATAAAAAAATAAAATAATGTTTACATTTTCAAAACTGAATTTTTAGAAATTTAAATGACCCAAATTTTTCTTGAAATTGTAACATATTAACAGAATAATTACAATTAACAATAAGAGACAGTCCGAATTAAGTAAAAAAAAAGATTTTCCCGTCTGCCTTACCAAGACGTATCCCAAATGTATTCTTAAGGTCTTTTTAATGCTTTTTAATGTATTGTAATGGAATACATTACTAAATATATTTAGGAGAATGTATTCAGTCTTCAACCTCCACTACTTTTTCAAAGCATTCTACCCAACCCTGGTGACAACACACTCTGAAACTGAGAAATCAGGAAGCTTAACAAGTCTAGGCAGCCATTTTCAATCCATTGTTTTGGAAGGCGTTAATGCGTGACCTTTGGTGAGCGTGGCAGTGAATCAACAAATGACGAAGCATCCTTAACATCAAGCTGAACCCCCTCCGGCTCTTCACACCTCTAAGAGAGAGGGGGAGATCAGCTATCTCTGATCGGCTTAAGTCCTTACACTGATAAGGCCTTGCTTCCAGCAATGCCCAGTACTGGTTAGTGAGAACATCCACACTCACTGATCACAGCTATAACACCTTTTGCAGATCATTCACAAGGAAACGCCTCTGAGAAAAAGAGTCTGAGCCAGCATATTTCTCAACTGAAATCATATATGTAAATATATCTAGCACCGATAGGACGAATCCTGATAGGGGGAACATTTAGAAGGAAACATTCTAATACATTTTGTTCTACCAGTGTGAGGGGATCTATCGTCCCCTAAATCTAAACTCGTCAGAGCTGGTCAAAATCCCTAAGTATTAGCCTAATCTCCAACCATAGCCACAGCTTAGCTTGGTACGTGTACAAAAACCCCATGGCTCACTATGTACATGGTGATAACTAAGAACTATTCGCTTAAAGACCTAAGATCAGCCTTCCAGGTCACTTCTATTATCTTATTATTACTAAAAACAAACCCGTAAACGATATATAAAGATCAGTGCTTTGACGTCCAGGTGTTAGCATGAGTTAGCAAGATGCTTCCCCAAGATCTGTCAAGCCATGAGACAAGCTAGCACTTTATTCCATGTTTTTCTCAAGAAAACACTTTGCTGTCCCACTTTGGTGAACATGTAAGCCATTTAGGATAAGAACAGACACTCAAATTTCATCTAAGTATTTAGCTTACAGTGGTTTGTGGAACCAAAATGGAGCTATCAAGCTCCTGTATGGCCTGATGTCTACAGGGCAAGTCAGATAACTGCAGAACTCAATCAATCAAATATGAAAGTTATTCATAGAATGCAGCAACATAAGATACTGTAAATACTAGAACCAAAACCGTCTCATCACACACTCTCTAAAATAAAGCATTCTCTGAGGTGATGCCATTGAAGAACCTCTTTTGATTCCCTGAAGAACCTTCTAGTGCATAACCTCCACATGCTGTAAAAGTTTTGTAGCAGTTATTAGTTTTTCCTTTAATTGTAAGTCAAGAATGATTTTGGAACCTCTATTTTGAAGAGTGTTGCTTCTACATTGATTAGCAGAATGAATGGTGAACAGCCAGCTCTGTCATCTTCTTACTAGCCTAGCAAGACAATTATACTATAAGAGCGAGGCTGAAGAAAGGAAGTGGAAATCAACTTACAGGTTCTTGGACTTCTTCTTCTTGGTGCCGTCAGGGCCTACGTCACAGCTGCATTCGGAACCAGCGCTGAGCTGCGGGGAGAGGAAGAGGAGAACAGTGGGCATCATCCATCCAGGCCAGCTTTAGAGAAGGAGAACAAGCAGGCTAGAACCAGAGAACCGTCTGCAGTCTACAAGTCCGAACTCTAGCCTGCTTAATCCTTAAGAGCCAACAATGGATACAGTCCTGGAGGGTGTTTGTGATGGAGTGTGTGTAAGTATTTGTGTGACCCCAGCCGGTCTAATCCTCAACACCCAGGCCAGAGCACAGCGCCTGTGTGTGCGTGTGTGCGTGAGAAGTGGACCCCTATGAGTGTGTGAGAGTGTGTGACCGCTGCTATTGGCCTGAAGCGTGCCCAAGATTAAAACCTCAGGCTCGGACCTTGGAGTCATGTTACCTTCCTTTGCTTGGAGGTTTCTGATTGGCTAAGGGGACCATGGATGAATGGGGAGGGGTGCAGGGGGTGTTAAGGGGGGTCAGCAGGCAGTAATCTGTCTGCCCAAAACTCATAGGCAGAAGGTCGGGGGAGGGGTGTTCCAATCGGTGTGTGTGTGAGTGGGTTTGTTTTTGTACCTTTTCAAGACAACAAGAGGGCTAATTAACATTTGTAAGGTACCTAATTAAAGAAAGTGGCCCTTTTTGTTACTGAAAGGGCAAAAATATTTCTATTTTTAGGAGTAAAAGTTAAGATTAGGTTTTAGAGATTCACGATGTTAACTTTCAGAAGAGTGTACACAGCGTAAAGGGCAGCTTGTGTTTTCAAATGATGAAAAAAACGAGCAAAATGGACGTATAAAGTTTTGTTCCAACAGCCACGGTATGTTTATGGGACATAAGGGACATCTTATTATTGCATATAAATATTTATTAATAAGGGACATTTTAATACATACCTACATATGAAACATCTGTATGTGACGTGTATGACCCCATGTCCTGGCACTATATAAAAACCAACCTGTGTGTGTTTCTGTGTTGGGGGGGAGAGAACCAAGCTGAGAAAGAATGACCCATTGTAGGATGTGCACAGACACCCTATTCTGACCTGAGGTCTGGAGAATGATATGACCTTACATGGGCCAGAGCTTTCATACTGTGGCGGACAATAAGTAGCTGTTCTTGGAATGGACAGTTACACAAATATTTGCACACTGCATGTTGATGAGGGTCTCAGTAACTTTAAGATCAGTAACTTTAAGATCTCTATTGCACAATGTTGCCTCAGGGCAACAAACCCACTTACCTCACTTTACAATAACATTACACATATTTAACGACAATGACAGGGTTGACAATAAAGGGAATGGAGTAAGTCAATGAAAAGCAGGTACTTGGTCAGACTTTCTCTTAGTGGGCACTTTTCAATCTTTTTTTTTTAACGTTCAGTATCATTTTTTGTTAAGAGAATTTGCAGAAATATGTTTGTTGCCTAGAAGCAACATTGTGCGACAGTGGAATGGATTTAGCCAGTCACAAGCCAGGTCTCACCACTACAGGGGACACGGATCTATATTTATTCCTATTATCGCACAATGTTGCCTCAAGGCAACATACACCAAAAGGACCCTGCACACATTATTATAAAAAAAAAATAATAATAATACAGGTCAGAGGAGTCAGGTCGGGTTTCACTGGACTCTTCATGCATTTATGTCACACACACAATCTCAAAAAGAAGGTCTGGCTCAATGTTCAGGTCTCAAATGCAAAATTAACATCATACTGATGAAGATATTATAACAATAGTAATTCACTCACATCCTCAGACGACACATCCTTCATCAAATTTTGATGAAGTTCTCGTTCAAAACTTTTTCCATGCACTTGTCATTGTCAAATTAATCTACAACCCCAATTCCAAAAAAGTTGGGACGCTGTGTAAATAAATGTCAATTTTGAGATGCGTTGCTGCCATCAAGTTTTAAATGAGTTCATGCTTTTCACAAAATGGTAAAATGTCTCACTTTCAACATCTGATATGTGTTCTATGTTCTATTGTGAATAAAATATGGGTCTCTGAAATTTGCAAATCATAGCGTTCTGTTTTTATTTACATTTTACACAGCATCCCAACTTTTTTGGAATTGGGGTTGTATTTGGGGAAGGGGTCCGGAGTACAACCCACATTTTAATTGTTACATGCAATTACACATTTCCAACAGAGGGGTCTCCAAATCCACAAATGTTACATAGCGCAGCTTTACGAAGGTGTTTTCTTTGCCCTGTAAAGTTATTTTGGAGATATATGGTTTTCTTTGTACAGTGACGATATGCAGACTTGCCCATGTAATCTATTCAAAAGTTTAGTTGTTTTTTTTTTTGTTTTTTTTATATTATTATAAAATAACAGATACCGAATTACAAATTCTGGAACGCAATTCCTAATTGGAAACTTTAACATAGTTAGAAAACAGTCGCAAAGTTAGCCTAGCTAGTCATAGCAGCCTTTATTAACAACTAACATTACCCATGTTCAATGAATATGTCTGAAAATGGCTGGTAAACATTTGTGACAGAAAATTACATGCATTCAAAATGGCATATTAGACAAAGCAAAGCAAACTAATCAAAGGCTTTTTGTCTTTAAGGGCTTTTCCGAGGGGACTTGAAAGTAAGGATCAAGAAGTTGCTCTTTTCCAGAAGTTCTAGCTTTAGTACCAGCTCTTCTTCTTCCTAATTTCCTTTACAAAACAAAGAGAAACTGTTCACAGACCAGCACAACAAAGCAACTTCAACTGACAACAGGTTGTGCAAAGATCTGAAAGATAATGATTGTGTTTGAGTAGATTTTGCAAGATTTGGGGCCAGAAAGTAGATAGATAGATAGATAGATAGATAGATAGATAGATAAATAGATAGATAGATAGATAGATAGATAGATAGATAGATAGATAGATAGATAGATAGATAGATAGATAGATAGAAAAGAGAGAGCGGTGTAATTAGTAGACAATGACATTACTTATAACTGAAAGTGTGCATGTACATTACAGGCAATCTTAGATCAACGGTCTAATCTGTTTAAGCTGTAGGGTCATACAACTGGTTAAGACTACCTCTACAACATGCTTTTCCCGAAAACGGGCCTGCCACCCCTCATAAACACCTCATAAAGTCACGTCACAAGTCTAGGCCACGTACAAAGTGTTCAGGAAAGTGAGCAATGCCCCCTCGTCAGTAAGCAAACAGAGATGACAGCTAGTATAAGCTCAGTGCTGAATCCACAAACATACAGCACAGTGCGTAATGTTACAGGACCGAGACGCTTAGCTTTTGAATCAGAATATGATACACAGCCCTGTTACTCACAGAAAGTGCGTGGAGAGTCACGGGAGCGCTTCAAGCTCGGGGTGACACGAGTGCAAAGTGTACTTTCAGTGTCCTTAGAGTGCAATCATGAGTGCACTTAGAGCACAATGTGAATTTTGGGATCATCTATGAAGGCGTTGGAGACATTTTTAAAGGAAATCCAGCTGGAGTTCGATTTAGGGTAAGAATAAATCCTGACTAAATAAACTGGCTCTGGACATTCACTCTTTCTTTGGGACAAGAGGGTCAATACAGATGGTCTGATAGTTCACACCACTGTTCACTCTGTTCTGACTCTGTATTCCCACAGCACGCTGCTTGCAGGCTCCTCCATTCATTTGCATTCATCTCCGGTCAGCAGCTGTCAGCGTGTAACAGCCTGTGTCCGGCTTTGACCACATTACTAGCCTAAAACAGCCAGGTCAGCCGTTTTATTATAAACCACAGCAGCGTGAGAGACGCTGCCTTTTAGAAGAACAGAAACTCGAGAACTCTACCCAAAATCCCACAGGGGGTCAATATGGTCAAACTCGCCAACAAAATAAAATGGCTAATCTTAGAATTGGAACATGAGAATCAGGGTACCGAAGAGGCCTGGGGGAAGTGTTCCACGAGTGCTGCACAGCGTGCCGGAGAGGGAAACCTCAACATATGTTTGAGGCTATCCTGAACTTTGCTCCATATCTTTCATATCCCAATATTCTCCTCATGAGCATCTCGACAAGATCAAGATGATAAAATGAAATTTTATTTCCATCTCCTTCATATAAAACACAGACTGGAATGAAATATCTACAAAAAAGAAGTTTTTTCAGGGGTTCTTTAGTGAAGGCAGGTGTTCTATTTCGAACTCAGAGTTCTTTATACAACCATTAAATGCTTAACCACTTTAAATCCCAAGCTTACTACATACTAAGGCTTATTATTCAGTAACTATAGGGGCTATTCTTAGGTTATAGAAGTGTGTAATAAAAGCCCTGGCCATTTAAAAGTTTAATTGGTTCTTTACATGGTGAAATGGTTCTTTAGATTGATGGAAAATGTGTTGTATAAGGTTATAGCTCCTTTCTGAAAATGGTTCTATATAATCAAAAAGACTTATTATATTGTTACAAGCTTGACATCGTACCAAGAGCAGAATCCTTTCTAAAAGATCTATATAGAACTATATACAACACATTCTCCATCAATTTGATGAACAATCTGACCTTGCAAAGAGCAATTTAAGCATGAAATGGTTTTACTTAGAACTAATAATTCTTTATATTTAATAATATTAAAAAAAATTAACACGTCCTCTACAGGGAGCAAACTTAAATACGGCAAACTTTCCAGCATAATTTCTATTTATTTGCTGAATTTAACATACTAGAAAAAATAAGACACACACCTCAGTGTCACTGCTGGACTGAGAATAGTCCACCAACCAAAACTATCCAATGTTCTGTGACCACTGATGAAGGACTAGAGGATGACCAACACGAACTGTGCAGCAGCAGATGAGCTATCGTCTCTGACTTTACATCTACAAGGTGGACTGACAAGGTAGGAGTGTCTAATAGAGTGGACAGTGAGTGGACACAGTGTTTAAAAACTCCAGCAGCACTGCCGTGTCTGATCCACTCATACCAGCACAACACACACTAACACACAACCACCATGTCAGTGCTACTGCAGTGCTGAGAATGATCCACCACCCAAATAGTACCTGCTCTGTGAGGGT